AAAAATGGCTAAATTCGGAGTCAATCTTTCTGTGGTTTTGTTACTTTTTTGTCTTCAAGCAAACAAAAAAACCCTCATTGCTCTTGTGTCTGCAACCATTCCAACTTATTTCTAGTAAAACTCTTAAGGGCACTTCTTCTCCTAGGCTTTTAAAGCAGAGAAGAGATACGAATAATTCAAGTTACCTACAAACTACAATTCATCCATTTCCATTTAATAACCACAAAGTCCATTAAGAACAGTTTCATGTTAGTACCAGGCCTTAGCATTAGATTCATAACGCCTTTTCTAAATAACTGAGAATAAAGTGGTCCTGGGCTCTCCAAAATGTAAAGCAGAGGGATAGCACATTAGCCATTAATGAAAAGAAGAAAAGCATCTGAACACTCAGTGGAAGAAAAAAGGTTAGTATGAGAGATGCACTCTGGGAGTTTAACCTCTTCCCAGGAAGAAGATAAGGAAGCAGAGCATAGTCGTAAGAAAAGAAGGGAAACTTTAAAGAAAGCACAATGTGGACTGTGCCACCAACTGTCAAGGACAGAGAGACCTTTTGCAACAGGCATCAATCACAAGTGTAAATAATCATATTCACTGATAAGTTTACCCTGAACGTCAGGGTAATGAGTGAAAAGGAAAGAAGCTTTTCATGATAGACATGTAACACGAAGAAGGCCTCTTTGTCCCCATAAATATTTATGGCCCAATTTATTTCTGTGTTTGTTCTTGCTATCAACATGGCACTGACTCATTATGGCTCTCTATATACAACAAAACAAAATGTTCAGCCCTGGTACAGACTGTTGGTTTGCTCAAGTCTACTGTTGTGGTCGCTGTGTATTATAAATGCCTTGCAACACAGGGAATTTATTTTACATCACAGCCTAGTGGGTAAGGAGTGGCACTGGCAATCCAAAAGCAAGTGGTTTGAATCAACTAGCTGCAGCAGGAGAGAAAGATGGGCAACTGAGAGCCTCTGAAAACTTGCTGGAGGGTCAGCAATGAGATAGTTTGAACTCCATAGCAGTGAGTTCATTATCAATGTCTTATTATGATCTAGACACCTTTCACACAATGTGTACACATAACTGGCAGCACCATGATGGATGGGGAAGAGATTGAGGCTGTTAACAATTACAGCTTACTTGGCTCCACAATCAATACTCTTAGCACCAGCAGTCAAGAAATCAAAAGATGAACTGTATTAATTAAATCTGCTTTCAGGGACCTCTCCGGAGTACTGAGAAGTAACGACATCAGTCTAGAGACTAAAGTGAGCCTGATCCAGGCTGTGGTCTTTGCAATTACTTGCTATGCATCAGAGAGCTGTAAATGACTAAGGATGATAAAAGAATTGAGGCCTTTGAGTTGTGGTGCTAGAGAAGAGTCTTGAACATACCATGAACTGCCAAGAAAATGAATAAGTCTGTCTTGGAAAGGGTGAAACCAAATTTCTTCTTGGAGGCTAGGATTTTGAAGCTCTGTCTTACATAACTTGGGCATGTGGTCAGGAGGGACTGATCCTTGGAGAAGGACATCATGCTTGGAAGCAGGGTGGAACAGTACAGGAAAGACAGACCCTGGATGAGATGGATTAATACAGTGACTAGGGCAATGGGGGTAGGAGTTTGGAGTCAGTGAGACTGGCTCAGGACAGGGCAGGCTTCAGAGCTATTGTACTTAGGGTGGCTATGAGTCGCAGATAACTTGATAGCACATAACAACAACACCAGCTCCACCACACTTTTCATTGAGTAATGTTTGGAAAGAGATTACTAAGCCTTCCTTCCTGGTCTGTCTGGCCCTTGTCTCAGTACACTGTTGATACACAGGGAAATAGTGATGTAACTGGTTCTAGATTTTACTTGGGCTATCTTCATGCCTCATGCACCAACTAACTGTCATCAAGTTGGCACTGAATCACAGCTGACTCTCCAGAAAGTTTGTTGTTTTGGTGTTTTTTTTTTTTAAATTTTATTATTTTGTGTGTCTATAGTCAAATTAGATCTGACTGGTACAGCCATATCTATAATCCTACTTCCACATGCATATCCTACCACTAACAACATCGTACTTCAGGAGATTTTCAGATGTCCTTTTTGACAATGAATGGAATACTATTCTTTAATTTGCATCTCTGTCCACCACGGGTAACTGTTACGGCATTTGGTGCCGCAACAGCACAAAGTTCAGCATGATAGCAACCTCAGGTTATCTCAATATAGCATACTGACAGAAGAGTGCTGTACCACTTAGAAGAATGTTCCTCCAAAATAATAACAACCAACTTTTAAATACAAAGGCCCTCTCTGAGGTCTTACAGACTTCAAACAAGAAAATAAAAAAATAACCAACATTGTATGTTGTTATGTGCCATTGAGTCACCCTGCAATGTATAGTGACCCTATGTACAGCACCTCTGAACCCCTCCCTATCCTGAGCCAGTCTTACTAATTCCGACACACCAACCCACATGACCCCAATTACTCTATCAATCCATCTCATCTTGGATCTCCCTCTCTTGTGCTGTCCCTTCACCGTTCTGAGCATGAGATCCTTCTCCAAGGCCAAGTCTCTCTTGGCCATGTGCCCAAAATATGTGAGATGGAGCTTCAAAATCCTAGCTCCAAGGAGAGATTTGGTTTTACCCTCTTCAAGACTGACTTGTTTGTTTTCTTGGCAGTCCATAGTATGTTCAAGACTCTTCTCCAGCACCACAACTAGAAGACATCGATTCTTATTCTGTCATCCTTAGTCACTGTCCAGCTCTTTGAAGCACAAGTAATTGAGAAGACCATGGCATGGATTATGTGCACCTTTTGTCTCTAGACTGACATCGTTGCTTCTCAGCACTCTAGAGAGGTCCCTGACAACAGATTTTCCCAATGCAATTTGTCTTTTTCTTTCCTGACTGCAGGTGTTAAGAGTGTTTGATTGTGGAGCCCAGCAAGCTGTAATTGTTAACATTCTCAATCTCGTCTCCATCTATCACGCTGCCATTGGCCCAGTGGTGAGAATCTTTGTCTCCTTGATGGTGAGCTTCAATCCATGTGGAAGATTACAGTCCTTGACCTTCTATAGCAAGCACTTC